TTTATTGTGGTTAGCGCATGGAAATTAATAACGTGGACTCGATTTTAATTTTTATTTCAGGTTTCTAAACCACTGCAGTTTAACGGTGAAAATGAATGGAAACTGCGTCAGAAAAAAACATACCGGATAGTTATTACTTGTCATCGAAATATTTTCACTAATAATATTATATACAATGAAGTTACCATCCGATTAAGTATTTAACCGTTGAATTAAATTGGTATTTGTTAAATTTAATTGTATTACATCGTGTATCATTTTCTGTCTGACAGTCGGACCTATTCGGTTTGAATCGTATTCATTCATGCCATATATCGACATTACAGTAGTTGTCATTATTCAAACTAAAAACCCAGAAATTAATTATTACACACGTAATTTGATTATAGTATACAAATTCGATTTTACGCATAATATTCTTGGCTAATAGTTTATACCTCCGTACATGATATTGTAATGGACTAAGAGCAAACTATCAACTTTGTTTTATTGAAATATGAATCAACAGTTCTACAAATAACTATTTAATCTAATAAAAATAGCATTAACATTGAGTACTTTTCAATATCAAATTCAAGGATATTTTGTTTTAAAAATTAATGGATTCAAGGTTGCGTCACATGTGCAATTCGATTGTTCGATTGTTTGTTTTTAAATAAATTTATACAACAAGACTTTTAGTATTTTACTACTTTATGTTATTCATATTCTTCTTTACTTATATAATACGTATTTAATATAAAATTGTAGAAATATACTAAAAAGAAATGTGGCATTGAAAATATAAATGAAATTTTAAATTGTGAAAAATGTTTGTATATTTGTCTTTGATAGACGGCAGTACCTTTTTTCTATATAAGTGTAAATCAAAACCGTTATACAGAGGTTTATTTGTTGTATCATACATTTTTTACCACGCACATCACGCAGATACAATGACGTGCGTATTGCGTATATATTTATTAAGCATATATTATATATTTTTTTTTAAAACCATTTGGTTTTTGTTTTTATAAACCCTTTCTGCATGCGTTGCTCTGCAATAACAAATCCCTAAAACATTTATTCTACGGCGTGGCACCGGAGGACAGATCGCATGGAAATAAATCTGTACAATACGCCGCAAATGGGTCCACCGAGAGGATGAGTCTCTCCTCTCCTGACCTCTCGTTAAAAACGAGCGCATACTCACTTACAGGCACGCATTACATGTGTGTCAGTAAAGGAACTGCGTGGTGGCGATCATGGGGACATAGTTCTTAACGAGGCATTCGGACCTTCGTAATTGGATTAGACAACGTCGCGTCACTATATATATATGTACGTCAACGATTGTGATTATTATTAAACGGACCGAAAGTGCACTGTACACGATAACGAACACACACTCTCTATCACTCTCTCTCTCTCTCTCTCTCTCTCTCACACACACACACACACACACACACACACACACACACACACACACACACACACACACACACACACACACACACACACACACACACTATATAATTAACACAAACAACTTAATACATAATTTTTTTTTATGATGGTTTTACACCACCCGCGGTTACACGATTTCGTTTTGTACGGATACCCTCACTCGGTTTGAGAGACATGCGATTTACAATAGTCGCACACAATACTATCGAAATCGTTTATAATATACCTAATATATTATAATATGTCTATTTATATAGGTAAATATTATAATATTATTATGTTCGTAAATACGTTGTCGTCATGTTAGTTATTTATTTTGTCGTTTTTCTTGTCGTTCCTATTTCATTTTTTAATCTACCATTTTGTTATTATGATGTTTTTAAAACTTTATAAAAAAAATACTGATTTTTAGGAGTTTAAAATATTTCCGGACGAGGAAAAACACTGTCGGATTTAAAATTTAACAGCGAGGGTAGAATCGTGTTACGTGACCAACCGTAGTAAATGGTTTATTCCAAACTGAAATACTTCCAATACCTTCCATAATTTATCGAAATAAAAAAAATTATAATTTACTTATTTATTTTATCAATTAAGACCATTGTTCAGCTTTATTACATAAATAACAATATATAAAAGTTTTTATTTTTATGTCAATATAACAGCTGGTCTTACAAAATAGTAGGAACAACATTATAGATAACGAGAGAGTGCAATTGATTATCACACTATGTGTATACAATTCTTATAAAAATATATATAATATTAAAATAGTCATGTTATTAGCAATACATTAGGAATCAATATTTTTTTTAAGTTTTCATAAATGTTTATAAGCTAATCTAATTGGATTTAAAACCACAAAAATACTAACTTTAATGCTACGAAATAATATTAAATTACCGCTGAGTGGGAAATATTTCATATTTGTAAACATTTTTGGTATTATTTCGAATGTTCTCTCGCGGTTTCTTATAACAAAGTTTTAACGGTTAGCAATCTTTCTCTAACACAGTGTCATTTAATTTAATCAGTAATTACATTAAAGTTATACGTTTGGAACAAAACTACCTATCGTGAGGTTTTAAACGAATTGCGAAGTACTCTTAATTCTTGGAAAGTTTTCAACCTTAATTGATCTAGTCACCAAAGAACATAACTTGGTCAAAATTTGGTAATAGACTTCTGTATACGACAACTATAAATTTACGACGTGTATGGTAAGTAAGTCTGGTATATATTTTATTTATTAAGTATGAAATATTTTAAATCTTTATTGACTTTAAATGTAAGCATAATAATGTTATGCACCTATATGATTATATTATAAATTTATAAATAATAGAAACTTAATCTTTTGTTATGTAGGTATTTAACAATATTGTAATGTTTATTTATTTTTTGTTAAAATTATTCTGCCAGAAATTATGACTATAAATTAGAAACCTGAGCCAAAATAATGAAGTTTATGATTTATAAATTTATGTTGTACTATACAAATATAATAATAACAGGTGTTGCGTGTTTTCAACGTTTACAATATAAAACGCAGCCAATCTAAACCGTTAGATTGCCACTTGAAATCGATATAAAAGATGTACGTGGTTGTTGTAAATGACTGCCAAAAACGATTCAAGTTTATTATAGTTATTGCCATTTGAAATATATATATATATAAATATATTTTGGAGGGTTTTTTCAATCTTCTGGCGTTTGTGCAGATTTGTTTTTAGCCGATTACTGTTATAATTGTTAGTGTTGGTCGGCGACAAGGGGAATTTAAATTGCATCGACTATCAAAATATGTCTGGAATTCGTCCAACTGTATACACTACATAGGTATATATAATAGCTTTGCGATGGGCTGTTAAACATCATCGGCAAAATTAAATTTAGATCCGTTCAATTAGAAATGTACGTTATTATATTATTATTATTATTTTTTTTTTTTTAATTAAATAAACTCAATCCACTGTAGATAATTTAAAAATATTTTCGAGCACTTCAAATTGGCACAATGTAAACCGTTTCTTAACCGATATTGAACATAATTGGACTCTTAATGAACTCCCATTAAAAAACCAATTTTATTACTTGTGAATAAATTAAATTACAATTTATTTTACGTCCAAAATTATATTTATCTTCTTCGTGCCCCTAATATTTTTTTACCCTTAAACTCGTAAACGCAATATTTATATTAATCAAAATGTCTTACTGCTTGCACCTCTTCAAAAAATACTCTATTTAAAATTGTATGCTTCATTAAACTCAGTATTTGTGTTCTTGTTCTATTCAAATGATGTGTATTTAACTTGATAAAAAGATTTTTCGTTATATACGTATCAGCGTTTATTTGAATAGGAGTTGAGCGTTTTTTTTTTTTATCGAGAAATTAACATTTTAAAATATATGATATTTTTCCGTACCTACAATATAATCCTTGAAGTGTAAAATAACATAAAATATATAATCTAAAAATAAAAAAATAATGATCAATAATTATCTAATTATTCATAATTGGGTATTATCAGATGCCCAGAAAAAATGTTTCGTTTTTGTTAATATGCTTTCAATGCTATTACGAAACGGGTTTTTTTCTTTGTTGTAAAACATAATAATATAGTTTTTATAATATTCTGTTATTATCGTCGTTTGAATACGATTTCTCAATATTATTTCTAGAAATGTGGCTTGGAATTCCGAAAGCATATATTTACCGGCCAGGCCTGCTGAAACATATACAGTATACACGTGTTAGTCCATTTAAAGGCGAATCGTTTGAAAATGTTAATAGTTTTTTTTTACTTTTATGTTTTATGTGAGTGTGTGTCTTGTACCCGTATGAATGGAGTTCAATAAACAATTTTATCAAAGACATTCTCCCACTGAGTAGTAAAACAATAATTTATAATTGACCGGGTCTATAAAGCACACTATCGCGTTTACTCTGCACCCTTATACGGACACAAAAAGCCGGAAAACTATGGTACGAAATACGATCTTGAACCTTACGGTAATTGACTGAAACGCACTCTTCGACTAGTCCGTACTGTGCGGTGGGGGTAGTTGCTGATGAATAAAGAGACGTGATATATTCTCGTGTAATAAACGCGACAACGAAAAATCGTTAAAACTTCGAAACGGAACTGATGGCGGCGTTTCCGTTCTCGGCTGTCAGCGAGGGGTGATACAGAGTGAAACATGTGACCGGAGTGGAGTTTCCAAGGTCTACATAATAATAACGGATCAATCTGGCCGGCAGAACGGCAGTCTGTAGTTGTATAGTCGTAACTGGTTATGACGAGAGGGCGACAACGTAAGAAAAGTCGAATCCCCCTCTGGCCCACCTCGACTCCGACGATAATTACGAAAGTATTGAATCGTGTACAATAATACTGTATTGTATATCATGATCGAACACTGGTGCCGGTGACGCTGTGGTAAAGTTTCTGCTGCAGAAAGGACAGATAACGTTACTTGTTTTCCCTCGTAGAATGGCGGGCACGTTTTGGACTCTGGGTGATGATTAAAAGAGAAAAACCTCCACGGCTATGAACCGAGAAGACGTCCGGCTCATAATCCACAAAAGCATAACATTGGGCAGTTGGAATGCAGTGGAACGGGCCGAAGAGACTCCAGAAAAAGCCTCATTAGTCACCGCCACCGCCACCGCCGCCACCATACACCGTATATCTTATAGACGTTTATTATATAAATCTTTACCCGTTCCATTGTTTTTCAAACCGATGAAATATCGGCAACAGCTGCGATCTTTTCCGCGCGTGAACACGTTTTAATTGCCCTTCGTCGTCCGACTACAACACACTACTCACGAATTTCAGTTATAGGTCGATGGGGGTGCATTCGATTCTTACGTTTTCCAACAACAAAACAATTCCAATACTTATATACATATACATATATATATATATGTATAGAGAAATAGAGGGAGAGAGAGAGAGAGAGAGAGAGAGAGAGAGAGACACACACACACACACACACACATGCACACACGATTTGTGTGTTTACATACGCATGAAACTTCAATTAAGAACGAGGATCCTGCTCTCGGTTTCAAACGACCAAATAATTACGTGGATAAAAAACATATCACAACACATATTTTGTTTTTACAAATAACCATTTCCATTCTAAACTAATAATATATTCATGAGTGGAAAATTATAACTCGGTATAGCAACAAAATACATACCTAGGTACTAATATTATCAAAAATGTGTAGTTAATGAATGATCATCGTTATTAATTGTTCTTGAGAGGTAAGTCTTCTGATTTTTGAACAATAAATTATTGAACTACAAACAAATTACAATTTCCTATAAGACGCTGGTTTACAAAATCCCAACGATTTCATACTAATAAATAAGTTCTTTCACCAAATGGCCAAATGTTTTAAATGTAAATACTTTTTATGATAGGAAAAACTGAAAAAAATGTAAGTATTAAAATCTGTCTGTGTAGATCAAGTTTTAAATTAGGATGAAAAAAGTATCTCAAGAAAAATAATAGTTACATGAATGATTGAATATTAAATTTTTATTTATTATGAGAGTAAATTAGAATGGGGTGCTGTTAAAATAATGGAATCTATTCAAAACTGTATAATATATTGCATTACAGTTCATAAAAAATGAAAATTATTATTGTATTTGAATTTTAAACAAGCAATCTAAAATAATACAAATGAGGTAAATCGAATATAAATGGAGATATGGAAAAATGATTTTCCAGAAAAAGTTCATATTTTTACTAATGAAGGTGTATAGTAGTTATAAATTATTATATTATTATGTATATAATTACTTTAAATACTTAAATGTTATATTTTTTACAGTGTAATGATGACAGAATACTTTTAATTCGAAAAAAAATGTATTATTTAATTTGAATAATTTTATAAATATAACAATCGGTAATTATGAGTAATTTATTTAAAGTTAAAGAAATATTAAGTACTTCCATGGTGTGATCAAATTATTATACTTTTAGATTTTTTTTAATATGCTTCAGTATAATGTCCAATAACATTACCTATTGTTGTTTTAAGCTTTTTAGTTAAGTATAAATTAAATTAAACAGCAATAAAAAACATTATTTAAAAACTAGGTTAAGAAAACAATTATCTAACAAAAAAAAGCTCAAAACAAATTCACTAAGCTAAGTAACAACATACAAATAACGTCAAAACTAGTTTAAGATAACATTTAAGTAATTACATAAAAATTATTATAATTTTACTAACAGTCAATAAAAAATTGTTTAACAAGGGTAAAAACTAGGTTAAATTTGATAGTATAAAGAGTATGGTATGACTGAATAAAGTGTGATGATCGTATGGATACAATCACTATCGAACTCTGTGTTTTTAATAAAATGCTTAGAATATTATTTGTTCGTTTATTCCATGTACGTCTGAATTTATCGGCGTGTATGACAGTATAAATTTGCTTGTATTGTGTAATATAATGTATAATGCATTCGATTAAATAATTAAATTTTATCTGTTTACCAGTATTTAGTCAGAAACTATATTAAATAAATTGTGTGTATTTAATGGCATTCACGTGGGTGTAGGTACTCATGAGTTTTGAATTCCAAAGAATGTGTCCATACGTTATTATAAAATACCGTATTTCTCTTTAAATGTCTAAAGAAAATTGTACGTGGTAGTGTACTGAAGCTGAACTTATTAAAATGATTTTATTTTATGAATATTATTTGATATTCCATAATATTATTCAGTCCAATTTCCTAAACCCACGGGTGCCAATAGTGTTATATTTAAATTAAATAAATTGCATTATAGAATAAATAGTAATTTTATTGTCGCTCTATTCCCTTGCCTTGTCCCCACCAACGGATGTCCACGTCGAAGTTCAACATCATCTCCAATCTATTTTAAGAATATTAATCTACATAGTTTCGTACATTATACGATTTTTTTTTATTTTCCTTGGAGTAATCCCGAATACTTCGTCCAAGTATAATATTATGGGATATTTTCTTTTGGCGAACGGCACCTATGATCATCGTCGACATTGTCTGGCGTGTATACCTATCGACGTGCACAGCGTAGCCGGTCGAGACAGAAATCCGTCGAGACGGAAAGCCTTCGAGACCTCTGGCTACACATGTGCACGGTCGGAAAATATTTTCGCACGATCTGATGGCGTCGATAAACGTCTAGCGAATGTGGTTCGACGGAATGTGAGCGTAAAAATCAACAGAGAGAAATGTTCGAGTATTAAATATATTTGAGCCTCCGGTGCGAGCGTCAATGGCGGTATCGTTATTATTTCCGGATCATTCCGCTCCGTGACAAATTTAATAACGTCTCGTCATAAGGGCCGTGTGACCGGTGCCCCTAAACACTTCCGGTATAAATTCTCCAACCTATCCATTCCTATAGGCGCCATTGTATGTGTTGTATAGTATATATAGTATCAATGCCCGACACACACGGCGGCGCTAAACGCGATCCGTCCGGGTAAGTTTACGAGTTTCCGCAGTGGTGCCGTCCAAATTGAAATATTATCTGCACGTACTTTGAACCCATAATTTAATCCGAGGATGATGTTTTTTAATAATATAGTAATAATTTTTCGGAAGCAAAAGAACTCGAACCCAACACTATAATATAATAGTATAATAGAGATTACTTTTTAAGATCAATAGGTTGACGTTTAGAGAAATGGATTAGGTGGCATAGCTCCTCCGAATAAGAGTTTAAGCCCCCTCTGCCCCAGAAATTAAGTCAATCTACAACCTACGCATTGCAATAATCGTAAATCCCACTGATCTACATGGTATAAAAAAAGCAAATGTTACGAATTTGTTTTTACTGTTATTTCAATAAATTATTGAGCGATCCATTTGATCCATTTGATTGGTATGAAAACTATTTTTCGGAGGAAATAACTTAACTATAGCTATTAATAACTTGATTTTACTTTATTTTTATACGAAAAAACTGGCATCGGATCTGGTTATTTCAAAACAAACGATCCTAGAGAAATACAATTTTCACAAGATATTTATATGTACAAGTAGTTTACGTTGACGCGAAAAAAATTTACTCCGAGCACTCTTTTACGGTAAGAATTTACATTTCTATAGATAACTCTCAGCTCAGAAAATCTGTTTCTACTCGAATACCACTCGATGCTCACCGCAGGAAAACATAGTTTTTAAATAAAAATTATTCATCGGCGTGTTTTGGATTTCATTTGCATTTTTTTCTGTCCTATCGTTTCTTCGACGTCCTCTCAATAATACTTCGATAGAATAGAGCATGTTTGGTAATGCGAATTTGTACATAGAACAAGCACATATTTTTCCTTCGAATATAATTTCGTCTGTGGTAGGTATGTGCATTTTTATCATTCATGGTGCCTAGCTGTCATGTCAGTCGAATATGACAGAAGTGCCACTCAATACATATTTGAATTCATATACCTACGTTGAGTCCTACTCAACGGGTTTAGGACTTTTTGTCTGTGCATGTTTTTTTTTTCCATAATGACTGTAGAATATTCTAGGTAAAATATAAATTGGATCTGAGAAATTGTGAAATTAAATACAATGTTTAACTCGGTAATTTCGTTATATTTTATAAAAGATACACATACCAAAAATGTAAGCATTTTTTAATTTTAAATTATTATTTCCCTCAAGCCATAAGTACTACTGTTGGGTAGTTCCTTAAAATCATGTTAACTCACGTTAAAATCACATAAACACCGCATATATGCCTATTGTAAATAACCTTACAGATTGTATATTTTCTAAATAAATGTTAAAAAAAAAAAATATTATTTATATCACATATAATGAAGTTTCTACACTCATGAAATCGTCGACTCCCTTTCCCCCTCTATAAAAGAATTTATAAATATATAATACATTTTTTCATAAACACGTATTTTTATTGCCATAACATGAATAATAAAAAAAAAACTTTTATGTACGCATTAGGTATATTATTTAACAGTGTTTTTACAATTAAAATTCACAACTTAGTGATTCAAACTCTCAATAATATTTAAAATTTAAATATGTATTATAAATCGTAAGCTAAAACGAAAAACACGTTGAGTTAAAAAAAAACAAACTTCTACAAAAAGTATCTAAATAAGGTTAGTGCATTTCTGTGTATTTTTAAACAATATTTTTATAAAGACATTATCCTTCTTTTAATCTTAAATTATTGTTTACTTTGGCCATTACCATTAGCTTAATTACTACAAAAAGCTTATTGAATTATACAGTATATTTTAATAATATACGTTAACAATAAATTTTATGTATTTTTGTGCAGAGGAAGAAAGCACGTGTAACGTGTTGAGTGATAGACTATTTGTTAAAGAAGACCAAAAATAAGTATTTATTTTAGCTAGAAACTACAGAAATAACTTGGTTTGTTGTATAAACTTTATGTAAATCCTTTGAATTGTAATGATAAAAAAATAAATCAATGGATTTCTGGGACATTTTTTTTTTCATTTTTAATTCTTAACAAATCTTTTATAATAACCTTATATAATGTATTCTTTCGATGATCCGTACGTTTGATAAATTTTCTTGTTTATTCGGTTATAATAATTTCAATAAATTATCATGATTTAAATCACAATATTCTAATATTAAAATACAAAATCTTAACATAGTAAAAAACAAAGCCCAGCTGTATGTCAGTATGCTTAGATCTTTAAAACTACGCAACGGATTTTGATGCGGTTTTTTTTTAATTGATAAAGTGATTCAAGAGGAAGGTTTA